GGGGTGTTTAGCTTGCAGAAGAGGAGGCTGAGGGGAGACCTTATCGCTCTCTATAACTACCTGAAAGGAGGTTGCAGCCATGTGGGTGTTGGTCTCTTGTCCCAAGTAACAAGTGATAGAACAAGAGGAAATGGCCTCAAGTTGTGGCAGGGGAGATTTAGATTGGATAATAGGAAGAATTTCTTTAGCAAAAGGGTTGTCAAGCACTGGAACAGGCTGCCCAGGGAAGTGGTTGAGTCCCCATCCCTGGAGGGATTTAAAAGATGTGTAGATGTGATGCTTAGGGACATGGCTTAGCGGTGGGCTTGGCAATGCTAGGTTAATGGTCGGACTTGATGATCTTAAGGGTCTTTTCCAACCTAAATGATTCTGTGATTCTAAGATTCTCCTGGAGTTTATTGAGAGTCTGAAATATTCTGAGTTACTTTGTACAGCATGCTAGTATACTAGTGGGTACTAAGTTATATATATAATCTGTCCTGGTGACTCATGTTCAGTGTCCTCAAAATGGTTGAGACAGTTAAGGATGTATAGGCCATTAAAAGCTCATGGCAGGGTTTGGCTGTAGCTGCTTTATTTTCTTCAAAGGCATTAACGTCAACCTGAAATACCTGAGTTTTCTAAATCAGCTTTTCCCATCAACTCATGAGTGATGTATGCTCCCATGCCACCCCCCTTGCCCCCAAGTCAATATTGCATTTATAAAAATGGAGGAGTTACTTAAGTCTACCTTTTGAGCCTTACATTGGAAACTCACTGCTATAAACATTAAAATATTTCCATTAATTAGGATAACTTTCTACAGTCTTAATCTAGGATTAGTAATTAATTTTAGAAGTTATCTTTTTCTAGCCTGAAAGCTACTGTCAGCCTCATGGAAGGAAAGAGGGAAGATAATTTTTCTTGTGTCTGGAAGATCAAAGTATTTGCTTCTTCTACCTCATGGGCACTTGGCCATGACTCAGCCCAGAAAAATCTTTGTTTCTGAGGCTAAACTGAAGACTGTGGGGATGAGAGGTGCTGGAACCATGATCTGCATTTTCAGATGGGAATTTCTGTGCTTGTAATAGCAGAAGAATGAACACCAGGCGTAAGTTACACAGCATGACTTTCACCTCCCAGCTGGTGCTCACAGTTAAGCATTTCGATTTGCTTTGTGAATTACAGGCTTTAATAAAAGAATCTGTGAGAGGGAGGAAATCCTGAAGTGGCAGAGATTTTATTTGTACAGCATCAGCTTTTGGCTCTGAACAATTGTAAATAGTCCAAGAAGTAACTGCTCATTTTGCTTTTTAGCCTCTTCAGTAGTTCCTAACCAGTTTCCAATAGTTAATTTTCCTGAAGTCAAGTTCCAGCTGAATGTTTGGAGGTTTTTAATGGTACCAGCTACTTTGTGCTTTTTAAATAAGGTATTCTCAGATGGAAAAACAGTAAATGGGGTTGATGAGCAGGAGGGTTGTTTCTGTTACTGTTTTGGTTAGACTTGTATCAATGGAAGTTGTAGCCATTCATGTGCCTCTAATACAGTTTAGTTTAGCCTGCCACCCAGGCAGATTGCTGGTCGCTTGAGGGTGGTGGGAATCCAAACACTTCTTACCAATGAAACTTCATTAACTCGGTTTCTGTGGCACATTAACTCCTTCTGTGCTGAATTATTCCTGCTCAGGCAGTTTGGTGACAAAAAGAGGATACAGACATTTATTTTCTGTAGAAGTTGTGCTTATACTTTAACAGTAAATAACTCTGTCCCAAACATCTTCTGATCTGAATGGCTGCAGCTGATATAAAAGTTGAAATCTATTATCTCCTTTGAGATGTAGGCTCTGTTGAGGAGAAATTGTTGGCCTTTTTCTTAATGCCCCTGAACATTTTACATATGTTGATATGATTCATCCAAGCCACTGTTCTGCTAATCTTCGTGTACTTTAAGGCTCTGATCCAGTAAAGCACTTAAGGACTAGCCAAACTTTAAGCCTGTGAAGGGCCTTATCAGTGTCACTGTGATCACTTGAACAGTTTAAGCCTGTGTTGAGTGTTTTTCTTGCTGAGGCCTTCTGTCCTTGATTGCCTGTTTGTTAAATTCTTAGTTTCCTTTGTCTGTACCTTCTTTTTTTTTTTTTTTAAGTGTACAGATAATGTTAAAATGCAGCATCATCTTTTCTATGAACTAATATAAGTCACTAATACACTTTTGGGGAGAGAATGTTTATCTCATCTCAGCATGATTTTCTAGCCATTGTTTAGCTTATCTACTGTCTCTTACTGACCTTTTGTTCCTCATAGGACTGCACTTGAAGCAGGTCTGATTATTTGTCTTAATGTTATTTGTAATCCTGTTATCATTTCTTACCCCACCTCCCTTCCTTGCCTTGATAATGTGTGTTCAGGTTTGGGGTACTGCCAGACCTTTCCCTGAAATGACAAATTTTCTTTTTATTCCTCTCTCTGTTTGTAGCATTCAGGTTTTAGATCATTATTAATTTACTATTTGTACTACTTTTACAGGTGTAGCTGCATAGATGTTAGTGCATAGGCCAGAGACAAAGCCAATGAGCAATTTAAGTTGTGTTGAAGTTGTACATGGCTTTGAGGAGGATGCAAGGTGTGTGGTTGGATGTCTGGTTCCTCTGTTTCTGTGTCAGGCTTGTGCAGAGCGTAAACAGGAACTTGAGGATTTTCCTCCGTTGAGTTGCTCAGCTGCACGCTCTGCTGCAGGCATCATGTGTAGAATTCTCCCCACCAAACTCCCGAAAATGTTGTCTGTAGGGCTCTTTTGTGTGTTTTTAATTTTCTGTACCACACAATGGGTTTTGTCATCTGCTAGTTCATGTGAGGGTGAACTCTGATTTGTGTCTAGTTGTGATAAATGGAGAAATTTTAGCATTTTTTCCTCTTGGAGAAATTAAGCTTAAATTCAGTTGTGTGACTAAACCTATCTTTTTCTGAAGACTTGATTCTCACTTAATTTGATAGGATTTTTCATTGATTTTTAACAAGTGAAATCTGAGAATACTTACAGAGAGTTATTCCTGTTATAGAAGGATAAAACTTCTACTTTTCTGTTTCATGTGCTTTTCTCCCTCCATTCTCAAATTTCCATCAGATTTACAGTTTAGTATAAAATATGGCTTATAATCAATAAAGCACTGAATAGCCTTGGTTCCTTCATATAGAAAAGTGCTTGGTCTTGTATCATTAGCATTCAACTTCAAACTACTCTGTTCTGTTGCCAAACTTGGCTGTGTTGCAAGAAGCTGCTACGAAAATTATCACTGAGAGGTACGATGGCTATTACAAATACTACATTGTGCTAGAGAGAGATCCATACATTAAAATGAACAAGCTAAAAAATAAATAAAACCAATTCTATTTTTGTACAATTGTTCGATCAGTCTTAGCGTATTTTTTGCCATGGATAGCCTTAGGGTAGGTGATATGAAGCAATACTTATGAAGGGTCTTGTATGCACTCATGTAGCCTGAAGAATAAGAATCCAGCCTGTGGTTTTGGTTCCTGAGTGGACACTGCTGGATGGACATTGCTTAATATTGTTTTCATTTGCCTACCATGTGAGGAGGTGAAGTGCTGTAAGATATGTATCCCTCTGACCTGTGACAAGCGGGATGCCACGTCATCTGTGTTTTGAGTGTTTTATGTGCATGCCCAATGTGTAAGACCAAAACCCACTGCAGCAGAATTTGAGGACTGCGTACATGATGTATGTGTGCAAAAATCTACAAATTAATCTAAAATTTTAATCTAAAAATTAAAGGTAATTCATTCTGGTGACCAGTGTCTCTGTGCCTCGCAGAGCTGGAAAACAATTTGCAGAATTCTCATGACAAATGGTTCTGCTGCACTGATTTGTCCGTGTTTATAGCATACTTTGAAGATAGTCCAAAATGGCTTGCAGTTCATGACCTTTTGGGCATGTTAAAAGTGATATTTTACTTGACAGGCTCAGAGATATGTTTCGGGAGAGAGTGTAAATACTGGTAGCATTTGCAGGTGGTGTTGAATCTGTTACCAGTTTACAAGTATTTAATACTGGTAGGTTGTAATTTGGTAAGTTTGATAAGTCTCTTACAACTTTTTTGTATTAGTGGTTAAGAAACCAAAATGAAATACATTTAGGACTGGAAACAGGGGTCGACTAGCATGATGAGCAATATTAGCAGTTCTTGTGATTTTTGTTGCCCACATTATAATGTTTAGCAGTTTCTTGTAAAGGCCTATGTTCTGGAATCGTCTGAATAAAGCGATAAAAGAAAGGTTTTTGTAAAAGCTGAATTTATACCCCTTGAAGTTAGAAAAGAAAATCTTGAAAATGTGACTCCCTGAGGCTGAAAATTTCAGAAATCAAATAAAATTAGATGTATTTCAGAAGTTGTATATATCATTATTAGCAATTATTCTAAGTTTAAAGACGCAGACCTGACTCATAATATTTTCATTATTTGTGTTTAAAGGTTGATCAAGGTGTATAAGCCCATTTTGGGCTGCTGTAGACAACCAGGCTTTGTAGACTGAGAGAATTGCATCTTGTCCTTGTGTGTGGTTCCAGACTGCTCTGCAGAGATACCCTTCTGAAAAGTCTGCTGTTACATGGTTGATGCAAACTGCATTACAAACTCCGGTGTCCAGAAGCATCTGAATTACGTTTCCTCAATGCTTAAAGTGGAAAATGTTTCCGAAAGAGACCCAAGGATGACATCTTTCCTCATTTTAGATTTGATTTGATCTACCTGCAAACAAGATATCAGAGTAAAGACAGTGTATCTGCAAGGTCTGGTGGAACTAAGTGATAAGTTGAGGATTATTGGGAGGAAGTGTGTCGTTCAGACCTTGAACTTTCTTCTTTCACTGGTTGAGATTGCATTTCTAATTATAAACAAAAATATACATATAAAAATAAATACTATATACAAATCCATTGCTCTAACACTAACACTTGCAGTTATTGACCATGTTTTATAACTGGACAATCTGTGGTTTTGTAGGATGCTGAGAAACGAACTCCTCTTCATGTTGCATCGTTCCTGGGGGATGCAGACATCATTGAGCTTCTCATTTTGTCAGGTAAGGTGCTGTCCCTCACTGTTATTAACTGGTAAATTACCTAATTTTAAAGCTACAAGTAATACCCAGCAAAGCATATATGAATGAGCTTTGGGCAGTGCCTCTTTCTGAGTTTCATCCAGCTGGTTGCAGTTGTTGCAAGCTTAGAAAATATATTTAAATTTGTTGATACAGTTATAAAACATGCACTGTGACGGAGCGGAATTAATAAACAAAGCAACTAATTTAAAAAAAAACCTTCTAAAGCATTCAAAGTGACAATATTTGTGGATTCAGAAACTTGCTGAAGTACATATTTGAAATGTGGGCTCATGCCCTGAAGTACAAATGAAGAATTCCTGTTATGCAAAAATTACTATGGAACAGTAGCAAAAAAGTTATGAATGAGTTTGAGTTGTAAGTGGTATTTACATTAGAAACATGATTCTAAGAGTCGGGAAGTTGATTTGAAGACTAGAAACTGCGCAGTAGGATGTATCTAAACAAATGTAAACACAAGAACTTGCAAATCAGAGGTAGAACAACTGGTGGTTTTTGGAATTGATCTATTCTAACAAATGTATTTTTGAAATATATGATCTTTTTGTGAGTAGTCCCTAAAAAGAGAAATCTGTTTTGAAAAAAGAAGTTTGTCTAAACATTCTATGTTCTTAGGGTAGAAATGTATGTGTATGTATGTATATATGTGTGTGTGTGCACACACAATATGTTTAATATCAGTGAAAATCAAAGTATATTAAACATTTTTTTGTAAATGCTTACATTCTCCCTTAAAAAACATAAATCTCTTTTTATATTAGTTTAAATGCTTTGTTGGGGCATTGCCAAAAAGCTCATCCTGTATGTTGTCATCTAATGTCTCAGAATGAGAAATCATGAACTAAAGCAAAAGGTCTTATATATATATACACGGACCCTAATAGAGGTTTGGCCATAGGTGCTCAAAATAACTCTATTTATTGTGTGTGTGACATAAAGACTGAAGTACAGTTTTAATATTGGACTAAGAACCATTTTAATCCCTCATGCTGACACTGCTAATTTAACTTCCCCCAGATTTTTTTTTCCAGCTCACAGTAGGAATATAATGCTAACCTACCTTTTCAGAAGTGCTATGAAAAAAAAAAATCAAAAAATATTTCCAAACTGTTGTACTGACAAAAAACATGATCAAAATATGTCAGAACGAAGCATAAAGCAGATGTCTCTTGAGAAGTACACGTAATTCATGGTAAACTCCTGGATGTGCTTGCAGATTTTAAAGGCAGTGTTTTCCTAAACTGGAGGACTGTAAGGGTAAAGCTTATGGTAGTTTGAGAATGTGGGGTTGAAATGAACCTTATGGTAGAAGTGTCTAACACTTTGCAAGCAACCTTGCTATATGATTGGTTTCACAGATGATTACACTGCCTTTTCAAATGAGTTGCATATTTTTTTTAGGAAGTTATTTCAGAACCGTCAGTCTTGTGATTGAGAGGCACCTTCTAATTTCCAACCTCAAATGCTAGAATAATTCAGGTGTGAGAAGATTGTGAGTAATAGCCACAGGCAATATCCACATAAAGAGAAAGGTGAAGCAGTTCTGCCCATTTCTCCCCTGAATCCCAGCAGCATCAAAAAATGTCTTATTTTATATCAGGTTCCTAATGAGGGAAGGAGACTTTCTAGCATTCTTCTGGGACTCTTAGTTCCAGCACCTCACTGCCAAAACGTCATCCGCGCGCTATAGGGTTTGTCTGATCAACAGCATAAATTGCAGGTGATTTATCTTGCGGCTTTTTATCTATCCAAGTGAGTGTGAAAAAACTTATAATGTGGGCTTTTGAAAATTGGACTTTGTGTCAGTGAGACTGTGCTGGGGTTCAGTCTGCAGGAACTGCGTGAATTTTTCCCAAGTAGCTCAGCATGAGTCAAAATTAATTTTGTGTTGCATGTTCTATGTTTTCATTGTCCTTTAATCTCTGAAGTATCATTACTCATGATGGCCATCAGTACTTGTACCCAACAGCAGGTTTGGAGTTTTATGAGGTTTGGAGGAGCAGATTTATGAGTTGTTATAATCACCTCTTTGTTATTGTGATCTCTCTGTGAACTAGGCTCCAAAGACAACAGCAGCATCTTCCCTTTGCTTTACCTCTTCATTCAGAAAACTGTATTAGTAAAAGTGTTTCACAAAAGATTAACGTGATCATAAAATTTAGTTACATAAGCAGAAAACCTTTGTTGTCTGACTTAAAATGAGAGGGTGTTTTCCAAGATAGAAAGCACAAAAGTGCTTGCTGTTGGCATCAAACAATAATATTCTCAGCGTGAGTAGAAGCTAGGAGGAGTAGCAACCCATTGCATTTTGTACAGGGCTCAGGAGAGAAATTAAATGAGATAAGCACATTCTGAGATTTGTGGCCCGTGAACTGGTGGCAGCACAAATAAATGTAGTGTCTAATGAATAAAACTTCTGCCCAGGCGGTTGGAGACAGACCAGAAACAGCTTTCTAGGTAGCCACTGAAATGGAGTCTGTTTGGAATTAATACAGGAGAGAGAGTGCCAGAACCCTCAACTGGTATGAATCACCCTGGCCCATTAAATGTCAGAGCTAGGTAGATTTACACCAACTCAAAGGTCTGATCCATAATCACATGGTTCAAACTGAGGAAATTTGCTGTGTGGGTTTGTTTTTCCAGGCTATATGAAAGCATGGAGCTTTGAGCAATTCTTCTTCACCTTCTTTCTGTCAAGAAGAAGGACTGGGGTAACCATCTTACTTAAATGGAGCTCTGTATGATGACACATTCATGGATGTGCAAGAAGAACTGTCTGGGCAAATACGGGCTTCATTTTCATCTGTGCTTTCAGAAGGTTCTGAGCTTCTTGGCAAGAAGTTTATGCAGTGGGGGTGTGCATGCAATATTGACATACATCCTTCATACATTGCACAATAGCTGAGGAAAAGGACAAACCCCAGCATGCTTCAGCAGGGTTCCTGGTAAGCCCTGGTGGTCGGATTTGGATTCTGGTCCATCCCTGGCACGTAGGCAGCAGGGGAAGGTGCTGTGTAACTTGAACCCGCGTTCAGGCCTTCCTCTTTTATGGCAGGCTAAGGGGAGGTAGTTTTCTTTCCGCCATTGCCATGGCTTTGAGACTTCAGGATTAAGAGTGTCTGGAGGATGTCCCAGGACTATCTCCTCTCTCTTTCATGAGAGTGACCCAGGACCTGTGTGCTCTGACCTGGTGGGATCCCCAGGCCATATGCCTCCCTAGCAAGTGACTCAGATTTGCCTCTGAGGAGCTCCTGCCCAACCTCCTGTTTCTGCCATGTAGATATTCCCGGCTCTTCGGTTCCTGGGTTCACATCTAGCACGGTGTTGTGATCCTCTCGTGTTGTGGGTCCTGGTTCTATCTACCAGCTGGTGCTGCTCTGTTGTTATATTTTATTCATGCTGATCTTTGCCTTGTATTGTGTTCTGTGCTGCTGTGTGTGTGATGGGCCACAGGGGCCATTCCTTATGGTTTTGTGTGTCCATTGCTGTATCTCAGAGCAGGAGTTGGAAAGGTGCACATTAATAATGTCATTAATACATTGAAGAGTAGAGTTTCCTTCCTCCGTTGACCATCCCTAATTTTAGAGAATTAGACTGAAGAATCTAGATTATTGGAGACCCGTGGATTTGGCAGATGTGCTGGATGGAAATTGTACTTTGGTTAGGATAAAGAGATGTTAACTTTATTCCTGAAAGCCAGCATCGGGTTGTTTATTTCAGATCTCAAAAGAACAGAGGAGATTTCAGATTTATTTCCTCTTTTGGCAGAAAAATTGGAGAGTGAAAGATGGCAAAGATTACAAAACAGCCTTATTAAAGAAGAATGGATTACAGAAAGTTTCCTCTCTGTTGATTTTATCTGTAATGTTATGTGTTATGTTGTCTACTTCAGCCTCACAGAGCAAATTCAATGGCCAACTCTCTGCTTCGGACCCACGGGTACAACCACCCCTGAGAGCAGAGTTCAGGGGATGAGGCTGAGAAAATATTCTTCTCTGAAGAGGCTTTTTTAAAAGTGGATATTTTATGGGGTGGGTGATTGCTGTGGCTACCTGGAAGGATGTTAAGGGAAATCTTTAAAGCAGCTTATCTTTTCAAGAAAGATTGTACTATGTGTACACCAATTTGAGTGTGTATCAGCCCTCTTGTCCTTGTAAACAAACAGATTAATTCATGGAGTATTGTAGGAAGTGCACTGAAACATGAGTAAGGTACTTAGTCCAGAGTCAAGAGAGGGACACTGAATTTCTGGGTGACTTTGAGGAAGTGTTGTGAGATGGACTTGAAAATTTAAGCTTCTGATTTTTGGATACAGCTGACTTTAGGTGCCTTAGCATGTTGTAGAGCACTTAGTCTGAGTTGGATTTCTGTGTTGCTCTGTGTTTTCAAAGAGCTGTCCCTCTGGGCTGTCACAGGACGGACGCTCAGGTTCATGAAGCGTAGAGGACAACTTTGAAAGCATGAGCATTGCTCCCAGGGTGCCTCCACTTGCTCTCCTTTAAAATGGCAGATATTTTCTGTCTCTGAAGGAGTGCATCAGTGCTGGTGAAGTTTTTTATTGTCATTAACCATTGCCTGCAAGGGAAACTAAAAGATGAATTTTGGTGAAGAAAATGGGCAGTACAGAGGGAAACATTTCAAAACAGCTCTTCAGAAAATGTATACCTCAGTAAATGGACAACAGTGGCTTCTGTAACAGACAACAGCTAAATTGTGCAGCTCTTTAAAAACAAATCACAAACATACTCAGTCAGTGCATTGAAATAGATATGTAAGAGCAATTTCACTTTGTCACATAAAGAGCCCCAAAGCACAGAGGTAATGTGGGAAACAGCTGAGGAAGAAAAGGCTGATAACATGCTGTGTATTATTTTATTTATACTGGTATTGTTTTGCTTTTATTATTTTCTTTAGCTATTTTCTCGGCAACTATTTCAGTTTCTCAAAGGGTGAGTGGATCAATGAAAGGCATGGATAGCTACTGAAGGAGACGCTTCCCTAGGTTTTCTAATCATCTTCATATTCACCAATGCCACTGGAGTTGTTGAATATTGAGGAATGATATGTTTGTTGCACTTTGCTACTCCACACATAAGCCTTTCTGATTTGCAGCCATCTGCTTGTAGGAGTTAGTGAACGGGTAGAAATAAACTAAAACAAACCTTAGTTAAGAACATAAAGGCAAAAACCCAAGTCAAATACAAAATAAATTTCTGAACCCCAAAAGAGGTATTTGGTGGCAATCATTAGGAATTCATCTAGGCATCTTCATGCCCAAGACCCTTACCAGGCCAAATCAGTATAATGTAAAGTGCCTTGGAGTCCTGTCTGGCAGCTTCAGGAGGCTGTTGCCTTACCTGCCTCTAGAGCCTCGGACAGTGTAGGCAAAGGGCAGGACACTAAGGTGTATCAACCCTAGTGGCCTTCTTAGGGAGACAAAAGAAGGTAACAGTTTCTTGGCTTATATAGATTCATTCGAAAAGCCTTTGAAACTCCTGTCTTTTTAAAGGGTGTTTTTTCCAGAAGGCAGGTTTGTGCCACCAAGTGTGAGGTTCTGAGGTGAGTTCGGAGGGTTGCCTCTAATCATTGCAATAGTTATGAAAGTGGCTTTCTTTTTCTTGCAGCCAAAAAATTATATCCCAACTTGTGGAAATACGAAAGAACTTGTTTCTTCCCTGATTATCTAGTACAGCTCCCAGTAACCACTGTGATTCAGAGGCAAGCGCCTTAATATTCCTGAGAAATGGGTCTCGGAAAGTACTTCTGATTCAGAGTGTGTGATTTAGTAATTACAGGCTTTTGTATGCACTTAAGTTATGGTGCAAAACGAAGCTTAAGAATCTCTTTGTTCGTGCAGTTCAGAGGCTCATCCAGGCTATGTGCAGGATGCTTGTGCTTCTCTAAAATTTTCCTGCACATGCTAGTCTTCTCAGACTAGCACTGCAACCTGCAGACCTGAGAGGTACAACATTTTCAAGTTAAGCCCTTTTTAAAATTAGTTTCTCTAGTCCTTTTCACTAGATCTCCTTTTTGGGGTATCACATCAGTGAATAGCTTTAATATTTCTTTCAAACAAATCTGTTTTATCACACAAATGTACAGGATCCTCTTTTTTAGTCTGCAGTCAGCCAGCACCACTGTAGTTGTTAAATATTCTTCTGTTATCCTTTATTCTGGCAAGCCACCCCAAACCCATCCTCTCGTGCAGCTGTCTTTGTCGGAGTGCACACTAGTACTGAACTGCACAGAAGGCAAACGGCTAGTCTCCTTCATCCCTCTTGTGATTGCTGAATAACACCCACAGAAGCTGAGGTAGTAAGTGCCTGGTTTCATCCTCAACCTGTCCATTTCCTGGTCTTGTTTTCTTGATCCCAGCAAGATTTGCAAAGCAGGGAAGCGGTTATATCTTTTAGTGGTCTGCCTGATGGAGCTGAAAAAGAAGAGACGGTTGTTCAGACTGGTTCCCTCCATTATGTCTGCAGACAGCAGCAGTGCTCTGAGCAAAGGGTTGCTTTTTTTTCCCCCAGCTGTATCTGTTGATCTAAAAAAACGCATATACATAGACATACATGTACATACATATATACATATGTAATCCCCTACAACAAATCTTGCAAATCTTGTTTCTTTTGTGTCCTATAAACAAGGCTATTCCTGATAATGGCCCAACCTATCCAGTTCCTTTCTTTCTGAATCATGCTTCAGCTCCTGCTGATGTGGGATCTGGAAACGCATTTCCAAGGTGAGCAGGGTGCCAGGAGAGTGGTGGGGAGCGCTGAGAGTACCACGTACAGCTCATCTCCGGTTACCAGGAAACCAGCCGGGCAAGGCTTTCGATGTCACACCCAAGACACAGATGTAACCTCTGCTGTTTACTTGCAGGCGCTCGTGTTAATGCCAAGGACAATATGTGGCTGACTCCTCTCCATCGAGCAGTTGCTTCAAGAAGTGAAGTGAGTAAGATTTGATTACCCTGCTTTTGTATGTAAACTACATGCTGGGGAAAAAGCAAACCATTGAGAGCTGTAGTAGGTAGTGTGGTGACACAAACAGGGAAAGCATTTTCTGTGTGAAGGGCCTTTAGCATCGCAGCTGGAGGCCACCTTTTACAAGTTAGTTATAGCTGCTTTTCAGCTTTAATGCGGTTGATTTTTGTCTTGTGGAATGCTTTACGTTACCATAGCAAGTCATATTGAGCAACCGTCAGCTGGAGCGAGTGACCAGGACTGAAGTGGGATAGAGTCCATGGTGATCTACAGTGGCCACATCATCTTCAAGTGGTGAAATAAAGACAAATAAATCCATATGGATGTCTGCACGCTGTGCGCATGCCAGAAGGGAGTGTATGTGTGTGTGATCCAGCACCTATTACCACATAGTTTGTTTTGGTTAATTGCATTTCAAGGCATCCATTAGGTTTTCTGTTAATGTATTTGATTCATGCATAAAGGAGAGTTAGCCCGTATTTCTTCTACTTGACAGCTAGAAATCTTCTGGCATTATGTTTTACTTTTTCCATTGCTATCTCAAAAAGGAGCAGCAATAACTATCAGGAATGTAGCTCAGGCATGACTGTGTTTTCAACCGCACCATTATTCTTGGCTTTCCATTTTGGACCTCCCTCTATACTTTTATCCTCCTAATACTTAGTTAACAGTGAGCCCAACTGCAGACCGAATTGGCTGCTGGGGGCAAGGGGAGGGGTTGTAAAAGAGACAGAGAGTGGCTGTCTTCCAGAGATTGATGGACTCGAATCACCTCCGTAACAGTCCCAGCGCTTGCCAAGCCTGGAGGCAGGAATCCTGGGCTTGCTTCTGAACTTGGGCATTGTTTGGCTGTTGGCTGAGCTTCCCAGCTGCTGGCATCCGCCGAAACCCTCTGAAAGGAATATCTGATAGAGTATGAATGCTGTAATGAGGCAAAATACAAAAAGCCATGTTGGAAAACAAAGGTCAAACTTAAACCTTAAAAACCAGCCACGATCTTTCTCATGCGGTAATTGCAATGTGTTCGGTTTCTTTTCTTTTTTTTGGATGTGTCAGAGTACGTGATTTTTATTGTTAGTGACAGTCCTAACAGAAAATGTATGTCTTTCTATGGGTTTGTGTCTCATCTTTAACTCTTTGTCAGCTGAAGGCCAATTGCATAAAGAAACTGTCTCCCAGTCTGCCCGCAGTTTTGGTACCTCAAAGTGAGTACCCTGGTGCAATAGTGAGGCAGCAGGGGAAGGCACCAGCCCTTGATGCCATTTCACGGGCTGCTCTATGTTTTAGAAACACACATAGCTTGCTTCTGCTGTCCTTTTCCTTTGTTATTTATATGATAATTGCTACTTTTGCTAATCGTTTTTAAACAGACTCAACGTTTTGAGGCTTTTCCAGTGCTGCATTTACTTTATTGCACAGGCTAACAAATGTGCAGCTTCAGTATCAGCAGGACGAAGCTGATGGTGATAGTAGTAGGTAGCAGTAGGTGAATTCACAGCTCACAATGAGAGTAGGAGGTGAATTCATTCACCAGTAGGATTCGGTGTGCTTTTTGAAGTTCCTGTGAGCTCAATTGATTTTAGAATGATCATCTACAAGTTTTAAGTTTTATTATCAATCTTTTATTATGAAGCTTTCACAAGATTCAGAAGCTGTATCTTTGCACCCTTTTTATAGGTTGACTAAAAGCATGAACAGATTTTTACTTAAATCGTAATAATTTTTCAAGTAGGCTGTAGGGATTTAAATGTTTATTTACAAATCAACAACCCTCGAGTGTGTCTGTGTAGGATTGTTAATGGATGTATCAGCTTTCAGCCTTATACAGCTTGAGAAAGTAAAGGGATTTCACTCTGGTAACTTGGGATAGCCTGAAACACTGAATGCAGAGGCTTACACCAATAGCTGTGGGTGCATGCATGTGTAAAAATTATGTTGATAAAAAGGTATAACTCATGCTCTCAAAAGCAATAAAATTAAAACTTCTCCATAAGGGTTTTAACATTTTGATCCCAAATCTGATAGAGAAGCAGATTTGCTGATGTAAACAAAAATGTGTAAATGTTTTTTTTTAAAAAGGCTAAATATTTTTAGCTTTGACTTTTCATTCCTTACTATTTAGTTCTAAAAATTCTCCTTTAACTTTTTCCTTCCTTCATTAAGAGTCAAAGTGCAGGAATTTTCCTGC